CCAGGACGATAGCTTGACACGCTAACCACTCAGCTACACTGACACGAGTACCATTGAGTCACAGGGCATAAGTGAATTTCAAGGAAGGCCAGACATCTTGCCATATCATATTCTTTGGTTGGAGTGCTGATGAAGCAAACTAGACATGCGATAGAATGTTCTCAAACGAGTTGGTTTACTGATTATGCTACGCCTGCTACTGACAAGTAGATGAGAGAAGCTATCAAAATTAATAGATTAAGGCAGTAATTCCCAACTGTGTACCGCGAAATATTGTAACATCTTCATAATTAATTGAACCCAGACATTTGGCCTAACTAAACAAAAAACATGAGAGAAAACGCTGCGTCTTCTCGATCGCGCCATATGATCGCACTAGATACGTAGAGGTGCGTAGAACTTTCGCGAAAGATTTGGAATGTTCTGGAAAATCTTGCGGAAAGTATATAAGCAAGCGTTGCCGGCTCGATTCAGTCAGTCGACTTATAATTTGAGTCTAGGAAAGTTAAACTCAGCGCCTACAGTAACATAAATTAGTAAATGAGTCTATATTGTAATTTAGTTAGTGTTATATTACGTCTTGTTTGTTATCTTTGATAAATAATGTTGTGATTTTTGGCTGTTGTCTCTTTGATAATGGACCGATTTTTGAACAGTTATAAAAGTAATAGTACAGATAAACAAAGTACGCCTTTAACCAGTGGTACTAGTGTGAAGAAACGAAAATATCGTAAATAGGATGACAGTTATTTAGAGTTTGGTTTCTAATTCCATTTTCGACGTCGTATTTGTACGAAGCCTGGTTTTCGATGGTCGCTGTAATAAAAAGCAAGTATAGGACAAAAATCAACGTTGAAAAGGAAATGAAGGTGGCCGTGTCCAGTTTAATTCTACGATTTGAGAAAATGTGCAGTCAATTGCAGGCTCATCCATCATATTAATTTTTACATATTAATTTAATGTTAATAGAGTAAAAAAATATAATGAAAAAACACGAGTTTTATTTATTTATATCTCTTACTTACAAATAGTCATACTTAGGGTAGGCCACTATGGAAAAATTTTAATTGAAAAGGGCGCGGCGACTAGGAAAAGTTTAGGAACCATTGGATTAGGGAATAGGTTGCACATGATGAACGGCGGTAGAAGGTTGGGTTACTATGCCTTTACAGCTCTGATGCTGTTAATCACATGTTGTCTGGTCGACTGTGCCAACCTGGACGTCACATTAAGGCCAAACAGCTGAAGTACAATGCGAATCAGCCATCGTGCATCATGCATTTTCATGTGAAATGAAATTCTTGCCAACAATGTTATCTCAGGGGATTCATCAAATACTAGTTACTGTACGTAGCTACGGCGTACAAGCACATGTGTTGCTTGGAAATAAGGCATACTCATTTGAGAATCGTGGCCTTCACGGGCGTTTATGAGCCTATCTTTCAGGTTATGCTACCATGATTCGTTATTAAATAGGTTTTGTAGACAACTTCACAACTCATATGCCTGCTACTTTACATAGTCGCCTGTAGCAGACCTCCTCGTATTCCTACAGGCTTAGTTCGACGAAGAAAAATTGTGTTCTTGTCTTAAAGCAATGCTAAAGAATCTAAAAAACTACTCTTGAGGTCTCATGCTTGCAGATCTCAAATGAATTTGTTAAGACATTTACTGGTTTCCAATCCAGTGCGGCCAGCAGATGAGGCCAAAGACTAAAAATTTACTGAAACTAAGACAAAAATTGACTACTTCCTTGCACATAAGTAGTGCGCAATAACATTTTTCGTATTGGCATTACGTAATAATATGAATGGTCCAAAGTACTGTATGGGGGTTATTAAGAAGCTATCTAGAGCATGCATGGTATGACTGAGGCAGGGATGCCGTCAAGCATTTTTTCCTATTTTTAATATTGAATAACTCAATAACTTGCGTTCTTCCAATCCCAATGCCATTTACTCATCGCTGGGCCCAATTTGACGTCCTACTCCTTAGTTTGAGATGTATTCACCCTATTTCGTTTGAGGCGATGAAGGATTAATAGTTGAATTTTCCCAAAATTACAAGAGTGGTGCTGCGCTTCCAGTGAATTTCACACAGCTTTGCTTTCCAAAAGGGTGTTCTCATCTAAGTGGATGAAGTGAGCTACAGATTTGACCTCGTCTAGGTCTTAGCAACACCTCCAGCGGGAGTGGAACCATGACAATGCAGCATGTAACCTCGACACGTTAACCGCTAAATCACATTGCCACGAGTGCCCTTGGGTGAATTTCAAGGAAGACCAGGCGTTTTCCAATATTATATACTTTGGTGGGATTGTCGATGAAGCAAAGTTATGTGTACTGCATTACTTATTTTTCTTTAATATTTACGATTCGAGACTACCAGTAAATCGTTCATATGAGATGTTAAAATATCATTTTCTCCTCATCTACTCTAACTGGTTATCACCGAGAGGATTCATACTTTGTCCTTAACGCCGTATTTATCTTGGCGAGTTGTTTTCCATATTTTTTTTCATTTCAATCAAAGTTTATGACGAGACTTTAGCACTGTTTGTACAAAATACACTCATAATCTCACTTTATTCCCATATTCCACCCCACTTATGAAGGCTGCTCTCGCAACCCCACCTTGTCTCTACCTCCATTGACCCCGACGGCCGCAGCAACCAGACACCCTCCATTGGCCCTCCAACCACCTCTTCGGCTCACAAGCCGCCCGGTCGGCTGATTGGCGTCGCTTCATTGCCCACCAGTCCGTTGGCCAATCGTCGCCCTGGACTCGGTTGGCCGGACGAAATGGATGCAACTGACCTGCTTAGCGAGTGAGCAGCAGCCTCCAAGGCCTTCTTTTTTAGCCGATTTGGAGAGTTTTGTTAAAGAGAAGCTGGACTTTGATGATTTCCTTACTAGATTGAGGTTGGGCTACCCTACATTTGGTCTGATTGGCGGCTTGAATGAATTCGTAAATTGGCCTAGGCGCACCATCTTGCAACCCCGGTGAGCCCGTGTAGCAGACATCGTCAGAGCCAGAAAGCATCAGTTACCAAAAGTGCACCAAAATACACTAAACCGGGAAATGCGATTTTTCGTAAATGCTGGTTTCTGGTTCCAACAATGTGCATCAAATGACGGACGAAAACTCAGCACGGATAGATCTGGGTCACAGGACGATTTCCTGCAGTCTTCGTGTCACAATCCAGTAGTTACAAGTTTTAGACAATCCTCTTTTGCTCTCCGATAAAGTCAAGTTACGAATCCCTTTTTACGATTTTATAAACAAAATGGAAATTAATCCCACTCCAAGATTTACTGAACTCTTCGTTAAGTATAATGAACCTTACAAATCGTATCTGCTGGCCGATGACATACACCCATCAGCCTACTCGAGAAAAATTCTCTCAAAGGTACAATGTTTAGAAGTAGAAAAAGGACATAATCTCAAACGAATCTGTTTGCCAATTACGCTACCTCTGCTGCTAAACGAAGGCTTAAAAAGGCAATTTAAATTGGCATATTATGCAATACATTGAATGTAATGAAAGGAGGTAGGAATATTGGTATGAACTAGTTATGGAGAGAGAAATGTTGATCTGTCGACCACTCAGCTGGTCGACCCATCCAGATTCACATATATCCACGATTCTGTTGGGTTAGTCAACTTAATCAACTTTACGGGATTAGCAGACTCAGTCAGGTTTTCCCTTGGGTACTTAAAACCGTATTAGCTCCAGACTAATGGGTTAATACTGGTGTTCCTTCATTAAAAATTGCAAGCATAAATGATTACATCTAAACATCTCAGCCATACAGTCATGATATTCCTTGGGTAATTGAACTTTGCTGACCCAGGACTGACGTTAGGCTCTATTGAAGTTGCATTTGGTCATTAACAGTATTTCACATTCTGACTTATGCGCTTTGATAAGATAATACACACGCTCATGCAACTATATAGACATATAACTAGCAGGCTCTACCCTACATGTCATATATATTAACGAGTAAAAATGAAAAAAAAATAGGAGGAAGAAAGAGGATATAGAATAATTTTATTTGTTATTTCTCATGCTAATCAGGTCACTTATGCATGTTGTAAATAACCAACAAAATTATTCTATATCTTTTAATCCCTACCTATTAATTTTCATTTTTAGTCGTTATTATATATGACATGTAGAGTAGAGCCGTATAGTTAATTTAAGTGGCTGGGTTTCATTGAATCTCTTATGCGATAACATTGTTGGGGAGACCTTCATTTGACATGAATGTGATTTATGAAAATGTTCCTTGGCTGAATTTACCGAAAGATGGAGCCTTATTTCCGTTGTTGTGCAAACATATTTTGCCTTTATACAACGTTCAGATTAACGCAGTCAATTTAATTTCCTCACCCGTTTTAGGTTAGGGCTTTCGTCCCTCATTCCATTTTGACGGGCATCTTCAGACCTGGAAGTCACTTTTTCAAAAGTTTTAGTTTAACACTAAACCATCAAGTCTTAGAATCCTTACTCTGCCGTTTAAGAACCATCTACTTTTACACTAACTTAGCTAGAATCTGTTAAAATGTAAACATCTCTCTAAACTAAAGAAGGAATTATCCGTCGAATTCTGGTAAGATCCACTTACAAATAACTTCATCAGGCAATTTTACACGAAATGAAAGTCAACCCAATAATAGTATCTTACTAGATTAAACGAACTCCAATTATTCTTGGAACTGGTTAAACTAGTTAGTATTCCAGATATATGAGTTGTTTGAGTCTCTAAAACCCACTTAATTACGAAAAATAGTTAGTATGCCGTCTATGAAACGCTTGAAAGAATGTAAGGAAATGCGCGATCCAAGTTGCCGATTTTCCAGGGATGTCCATGTGGGCGGAGCATAAGGCTGTGCTTTTCTCGCGATCTCACCGTGCCCGATATCCTCTCATTTACTTATAAACATATCAAGATGTCACATGCATATCCATAGAGCTTTGGAATCGAGTCCTAACCCAATTCCATCGAAACAGTGGCTGTTATAAATCCCGCTTATGGTATTGATGAGACCAAGATGAGGCCAAAAGTACATAAATTCATTTTT